TTTTCAGATTTTTACTTTAACTTTCAAATTTCATCTTCAGCACAGTACTTGGTAGATTTTAGATTGTCTAGTTTTCACTTCTACAATTGCATCTAATGTAATGAATAACAAGTATTTTAATTTCATTAAGGTACTATTTCTTTTCCGATCTTTGTTTATTTTAAGTTAATGGCATTCAAGTTTCTATCTTGTTTTATATTCCATATCAATTTAATCTTTATTCATACATGCTTTTTGATTAATTTGTTTTATATTTCCAAATTTGAGGTAGGTAAATTTGCAAATCTATTTATAAACGTAAATTAATCTAGTTCTGAATTAAGATGCATTCATCTTTTACGAGTCTACTTGAATTTGCATTTTGCATTTCATTTAGAACATTTAGGATCTATTAACTTCAATTCACGGTATTGGTAAAGTCCTTGAGATTGTCCAAGGTAAATTAGCAACCCATTTTGCAGGAAGACATCCCTCCTTCTTGCAAATTGTCTGAAGGGTGCAAAACTTAATCATAAACCAACGTTCTTCTAGCCATCCTAATGGAGGTTGATCATGTGGAAGGAAAGGGTCGTTGGGAAAATCCATTTTTCTTACTTTTTAGAAAAGTAAGTGGCACACCGGCATCCAAATTCCTCACATGCAAAGCCATTTGAGGATTTTTCAAGAAACAATATGTAACGAACTCTTGTGGCCTACTACCATTATTCCGTATAGGCTACAAGTGAAGCCCAAAATTGAAGAGTTGTTATGAAGAAGTATAGGAAAAAAAATAAAGAAAAAAGGGAAGCTGTATTTGAAATCCTCAAGAAGTTAGTAGCCTATTTTATTGAAAGAAATACAAAAGCAAACTTGTTGGAGATGGTACATGAAGGCAAAGAAGGCACCCATACTGACGGAGTCATAATGAAGAAGTTAGATTTGGCCCCTGTGAAGTTGGATAACCTTAGGATTGATGTACAAGATCCATTAGAGGAAATTAATTTGGGTATAAGGCAAAGCCACACATTACTTTTGTTAGTGGTTTGCTCTCACCAGAGTTGCGAGATAAAATAATCCACTTGCTTCATGAATTCAAAGACTGCTTTGCATGGGATTGTTTTGAGATGCTAGGTTTAGATCAAAAACTAGTGGAGCATAGACTACCAATAAGTGAAGGATATAAGCCATACAAATAACTAACATGTCGTATGTTTTTAGAGGTGACTTTAAAGGTGAAAGAAGAGGTGGAGCGGCTGCACAAAGTTGGTTTCATACAAACAACCAGGTACTCAAAATGGTTGTCTAACATTGTTCTAGTTGTGAAGAAGAATGGAAAGTTCAGAGTCTACTTTGATTTTCAAAACTTAAATCTAGCCACACCAAAATATGAAGACCCCATGCTGATAGCAGATTTACTTGTTAATGGAGCTGCATGCCATCACATTTTATCTTTTATGGATGGGCTTATTGGCTATAATCAGATCTTTATTGTAGAGAATGACATATTTAAAATGACATTTTGTTGCATTGAAAACATAGGTACATATGAATGGGTTGTGATGCTATTTGGGTTGAAAAATGTGGGAGCTACATACCAATGGGCATGAATGCTATTTTACATGACATGATTGGCTGCTTTATGGAGATTTATATCAATGAAGCTATTGTTAAATCCATGGAGGAGGAAAAGCATTTAGAACACTTGAAGAGAGCTTTTGAAAAGAGCTTTTGAAAAGATGTGGTAGCACAGTTTGAAGATGAATCCTCTTAAGTGTGCTTTTGGCATTATTGCAAGAAACTTTTGGGTTTTCTAGTTTATGAATGTGGTCTAGAAGTGGATAAAAATAAAGTAAGGCCGTAATTAAAGCATAGCCACCACAGCATAAAAAGGAACTACAAAATTTTCTTGGTTAAGTTAATTTCCTAAGAAGGTTTATCTCTAATTCGCTAGGCAAGACTCATGTCTTTTCACCTTTTTTGAAATTCCTACCTTAGGCAAATTTTAAATGAGAGAGGTAGCACCAAGCCACCTTTGATGCTATAAAGGAATACTTGTCCAAGCTTCTTATGTTGGTTCCTGTAGTTAAGAATAAACCATTATTGATGTACATATCTGTTGTAGATGAGTCAATTGGCTATTTGCTAAAAGAATAACAATAAACAAGAATAAGCTGTTTATTATTTAAGAACTTTAAATTTGATTGAAGTAAAATATTCTTTGGTTGAAAATTTGTGTTTGGTTTTGTTCTTTACAGTAATAAAATTAAGATACTATTTGTTGTACTCAGAGGTGTTTGTTGATTTAAAAATTGATATCATACAATATATGATGTTGTAGCCTATCTTAAAAGGCTGTTTTGGTAAGTAAATTCTTCCACTTACTGAATTTAATCTAAGATATTTACCTCAGAAGGCCATCAAAAGATAGGCCACAACAGACTTTTTAGTAGATTATCCTCGTTTAAATGTCAACATTGATAAAGATAAGGGAGTCAATCTCTTTTCTATTAACTTAGTCCCTTGGAGGCTTGTTTTTTATGGGTCTAGCACTGATCAAGCCTCTGGAGTTGGAATCATTATTGTTTCAATTACACTTTGAATGCACGAATAACCAAGCATAATGTGAGGCTTTGGTAATTGGCCTTGAATTGTTACGGGTATTGAAGGTGCCTTCGGTTAAAATTATGGTGATTCTTAGTTAATTCTCAGGCAATTGAGTGGCGAATACAAGTGTACAAGCATGGTTTTCTCTCCATATTTTGCCACTACTAACCAACTATTGAAGGAATTTGATGATGTCTCTTTGAAGCATATTCCTTGCAACTTGAATATTGAAGCAAATAAACTTGCACAAATTGTTTTAGATTTGAAAATGCCTAAAGGCATCTTGGAGAAAGTGATTGTCATTGAAAAGTGTATGTTGCCTTTGATTTATCAAAGGATGATGGTGGAGGCATGTTCTTTAGATGTCACACCTATAGACTAGAGGCACCCAATAATGGAATATTTGAGGAATCCCAATTCCAAAACATCAAGGAGAAATGGATGTAATCTATAAATTATGTGTTATTGGGACATGCCTTATATTGTAGCGGGCAAGATGAATTATTATTACGTTACCTTGGTCTTGATGAAAGTTGCCATGTGATGTCAAATGTTCATAATGGTATCTGTGGTGTTCATCAAGTAGGGATTAAGATAAGATGGCTAATTTGAAGGCATGATTTCTTTTGGCCATCTATTCTTAAAGATTGCATCATATATACAAAGGGCTAGAGAGCTTGTTAGCTACAGAGTCCTCTACAACAAGTGCCAACTTTTGAGTTACATCCTTTGTCAACCCATGGCCTTTCCGTGGTTAGACAATTGATTTAACTAGGAAAATTTATCCACCTTTTTCCAAAGGTCACATTTCATCCATGTTGGCAAGTATTTTGTTTGTTGAAAACTTGTTTTGTTGAAGCAGATTTCTCTTGGATAAAGTTCAATGGTTGTTTTCACATCATTAACAAAGTCGTTCAATTGTTGCAAATTTCCATGAGCATAGTTGGTAGCATGTTAATTGAATTGTTACAAATTTCATGCTGTCAGTGGTTTTCAAGATGCTGCTGTAGATCTCTAACATGCTACCGCAGATCTCCAACATATTGCCAAAGGGTGTTTATTGTTATAAATACACGGACATGAAATCAAGTAAGAAAGACCTACCTCTCACACAACAAGCCTCAGCACTATTTCTTTTAGTGCTCACGTTCATCTAAATTTCAAACCCCTTAGTTTAGTTTTAGCTCTATTCTTCAACCAACATTAGTTTTCAAACTTAGCTTAATGTTTTTTCCTTTAGAAATCCCAAAAATTAGTTACAATTATCTAAAGAATTAATTTAGTTCCCCTTTTGTTGGTTTTGTAGTGATAAGATTCGATGCTTTCAGTGATAGTTCTTTGTAATTAGATTGCTTCCTTCCCTTTATTGTTTTCTAAAGTTCTTTTTAATTAATCAAGTGATGCTAGTATCCAATTTCATATTCCATTTTATTTCCATTAATTTATGTTTCAAGTTGTTGGTAGAATTTTCCATGTTTCCAACTTCCTTTACTTTAGCTTAATTTGTTTTTTCTATATTTAGATTTCCTTTTGAAAACTTTATTTAACTCAATTTGTATATTTAAAATTCATTAAGATTTTTAGTAGTTTGGTGGTCATTTACTTTTCTTGTAGTCTTAACTTTTCTCAATTACATTAGTTTGAAAGAATCCTTAGAGACATATCCAAGGCATTTTGTTGTTTAATCCATTTAGTGTAGGAAATTCATCTCTTGTTTTTGCCAATTGTCTAATCATTAAGGCACAGTCTATGACATTTTTTCATCAACTCATAACTCAACTCCATGTTTGGAAAGAAGAGAAGATCGTCAAAAAAATCTTTTTTATTTTGAGCAAAGCAAGTAATACATCATTTTATAAGTCACGTGTTTAGGAGATTTTTTGAACAATACTTGATCCTAACACTGTACTGGAGGACTAATACTTGGAAACAAAAAGTGTAAAAAATTTTTCAACCATTAATTACGTGGGCTTATATGCAACTCACATCATGGTTAATGGTGATCAAAAATTTTTCTGAATTTTTTGTCCCACCCTCTCCATATTCCAATATGCAGTATATGGGATTGATTTTACTTCGGAATGAAATCTTTCTTTTTTTCTTACTAATAAAAAGTTTTTAATAAAAAATATAACATTTATGATTTTAAAGAAATGTCTAAGAATGTGACATTTTCTTTGGTTAGAAACTCTGAAAGATGTAGCTTTAATTAGTAAAAAAAGATATTTATTCTTAATTAAAAATTCTTTTGAAAGATTATATTATTTTATGCTCTAGGAAATCTCTTAAAAAAACAAAATTTCTTTCAAAAAATAGAAAATGAAATTTTCGAATTACACACAACAATGACAATATTCTTCGTAATGTATAAAATTCGAAAAAAGAAAAAAATCAGAAAATGAAAACTACATATGGGTTACAGAAATTCTTATTTACTATCTCAAAAATTAAACACAACAATATCTTCAGATTAAAAAGACAAACAAAAAAAAAAAAGAAAAAAAAAGTAATTAACTCCACAATCAAGTATGGGAGAAAATTTTATCATTAGTTCATTACCCAATTCTTTTTTCCCTCTATTAAAAGAATTACAATTTAAAAGATATCCAAAATTTCCAGGATGAAGCCATTGCAAAGTGGGCAATTTCCCCTTTGAACCCAGAGCTCCCGGGAACATAGCCTGCAGAAGGTATGGCCGCAGGGGATAAAAGCCGCACTTTTATGGCGGACCATGCACACGCAGCAGGGGTACTCAATCCCTCCGCTGTCCTCCTCCACAGCGTCATCGTAGTACTCCTCCTCCTCCTCCTCCTCCTCCTTCTCCTCGTCACTGTCGCCCATGGCGTACCTCGACCCCGTCAGTCCCATTTCCCTGTCGTTCTCCTCTAGCAAGTCCATCAGCGACGTTCTCACCGGCTCCGCCTCCTCTTCCTCTTTCTCTGTAGCGGCAGCTTCCGCTTCGGCTGCTTCCTGGGCCACCACCGCCTCTCGCGCAGACATTACACGCATTTCTGTCAATGCTTCCCCAAGTCGGCGTCTCTCCGAGGCGCTGTCGTCGTCCTCATTAGAGCCAGGAAAACGAGTCGAATTATGACGCGATATTTGGGGTCTAAAACTCCATCTCGGAGAACCGTCGCATGGCATACCAATATCCGCATGATCGTCGTGCACTGACAAGCTTATGCCGATTCTTGTGGAGCTCCGGTAAGTGAGCTGCGGGCGAGATGTGGGGGCCGGGGGATCAGAGATCGGGATTGGTTCTAAGGATTCTTCAGGGCGATTGAACGAGGAGCGGCGTTTGAGTTGGGATCTGTTATTTGGGATAGAGATATCCGAGGTCGGGGTATGAATGGTCGACATCCAAGCAGCACCAGCACGTTTTAGCCGGAGCTTGTCCCTGAAATTCTTCCAGCTTTTCTTGTCCTTATGCGGTGCCTCGCCCCGGATTATGTCAAGAAGTGCTCGGCTTTGATGATGCGAATGGTGGTGGTGCCGCTGCTGCTTGGTGCCCATCCCCGTACCGGTACCGCTCAACACCGCATCGAGAGTTAAGCCTGTCAGAGTATTCCGGCTTTTGTCAACTGCCGATTTCTGCTCTAAAAGGGACAATTTCCGGTAACGGTGAGCACCTTCCATTTCATCAAATTCAAAGAAAAAAAAAAAAAAAACTAAAACTAAAACTAGCCCACTAAAACAACACAGAAACCCAGAAAAATCAACAGATTTTATAGCACAAATTCAGGAAAATGAATGCAGAGAAACCCAAAAAGGGACAGTCAGGAATAAAGAAAATAAAGACAACATTAAGGATTTAGCATGCAGGAAAAGTGCTTTTGTCTGAAGCAAATGGTGTTCTTTTTTTGGTCTCTTCTGCAGTTATTAGGAGAGGGGTCTGAAGGGGAGAGTTCAGGTTCAGGCAGTGGTGGAGCGATTCTTGTGGGAGCCCTATGGATTGCGGGTTGCGTGGGGGCGTTGTTGCTCTTGCTTCCCATTTTTCTTGTTCGCCAACTAATCCGCTTCCGTGGCTTACCTGATTGGAATTTTTTTTTTTTTAAATTTTGTTCTCTTTCGGTGAAATTCAATTTTGGAACCATTTTTGTTTTCTTTTGCTTGTAAATAATAATAATAATTAATAAATAAATAAATAACTAACTAACTTTAGAAAATTCTGATTAGTACCATAATTTTATGAATTTATCCCTTTGTTATTTTTCGGTTGTTTCACTTTAAGCTTGCAGAAGCAGAGATATTCTAAGGTAAAAATACAATAATTAAGGATTAAAATATTATATTTAAGTAAAAATTTACTTAAACATATATTTACGGTCCTCCATCATTCAAGTACCTAATCTGAATTTTAATTTGACAATATATATTAACATATCAGTCGATACCCATACATATGAATAACTATATGCATATTAATTTCAATCTTAATAATTTGAAATAAATTTTTTATATATAAAAATTCAATATATACAAATGCCATTGTAGTTTAATAATCATATGCATCTTAATCTCAATCTAAATAATTTGAAATAAATATTTTTATATATAAAAGTTCAATTTAAATATCATTTTAATTCAATAATAATATGCATCTCAATCTCAATATTGATCTTAAACTCAATAATTTAAAATAATTAAATAACAGATTTCTAATAATAAAAATTCAATATAAATATCACTTTAGTTCTACAACCATAGGTATCTCAACCTCAATCTCAATATCAATCTCAACCTTAATCTTAAACTCAATAATTCGAATCCCTAACTTTATATATACAAATTTAATAAAAATAACTCTTCAACTAGCATAGATATCTCCATCTCAAAAAAATAAAAGAAATAACTGCAATTCACTAACAATTCAATATCTCACGCAATAGTAGCAATAATCCATACTAATCCACGAATGAGACAATATAATTTTGCAAAAAAAAAAACCACAAAAAATTCCAATTACCTTTGGCAATGGGGATGATGATGATGATGTAGAGGCTAGATTTGGATTACAAATCTGTAAAGAGAACAAAAGACAAGGTCTTGTAAATCCAAAACAAAGGGAAAATTCTCCAAATTTTTGGTGAAGAAAATGATTGTCCAATAGGTGAGGCGGTAGTGGGTCTTTGGCCGGGTGGTTAGGTGGAGGCAGTAAAGGCTGGATTTGGACCCAAATAAGAAAAATGGAGTCTTATAGATCCAAATCCAAGGAAAAAACAAGGAAAACCAAAAAAAAAAAAAAAATGGAACTAACCATTGACGATGTTCTAATTTGTAGGGAAGGCAATAGCGGGTCACCTTCTCTGGGTGGCGAGGTGGGGTGGAGGTGACGGAGGTTGGATATAGAGCATAGATCTACATGAAGGAAAAGGAATGGTGACTATAAATCCAAGGAAAAAAAAAAACTAAATCAACCAAGAGAAGGGCAAAATCATCGTCACCAATGTAGGGATTCAGAAACCAAGGGGGCAAAGATTAGCTTCTCAACTAAGCATGAACAACAACAGCAAACTTTGACGGAGAATAAACTAGATTGATTGCAAAATGAGAAGAAGAGATTGGGAAGAAAAGGGAGTCGAGGGGATAATGAAAGAGTATAACTGACAACCATGGCTATTGGTTATACAGAACCCTTAGCACTGAACAGCGTGGTTTGGCCTTATAAGCAATAACATTTTTGTTGATTATAATTAGTATATAATTGACAGCTAAAAAGTTGTCGATTAAATATTATTGATAGCTAATTTTCTATTGATTATACTCGTATAATTGATAGAAAAGTTATCGATTATAATTTTTGTATTGAGCAATAAAGAACATAATTGACAAAAGTATATAATCGATAACTTTTCTGTCAATTATACCAGTATAATCGATAGAAAATTGGTTGTCGATTATAAATTTTTCAATTATACTTTGTTTTTTAATAGTGTCTCTACCTTCTTCTTGTTCTTTGTTTTCCTTCTCTTTCTAAACATATTTGATAGAACAAGAGACAGGAAGAAAGTGAAGAAGAAAGTGGAATCTTGTTTTATTTTGTGATCTTAATGTTGCAAGCCATGGTATCAATGGAGATGGGCCAATCTTTGTTAGAAGAGTAGATTGAAAAGTCTCCAATATAAGATTTTGAGTGATCTAATCAAGGTTGAACACATGATAGACATGGTAAAGGTTGTCTCACATGAATAGTCATGGCATTTCTTCTTATTTTTATTTGATGTTATATGTCTACTATTGCTTATTTTTATCTCTATTCATGCTTAACTATGTGTATTTGTGAGTGTTATATGTCTACTATTGCTTATTTTTATCTCTATTCATGCTTAATTATGTGTATTTGTGAGTGTAAGTCCTTCATTTAGGGGATTAGGCATTCCTTATTGTTGTAGATGTTGGATGGCTTTTGCTTAATAATATAATAATTACAATAGTTAAAAAAAAAAAAAATTGTTGCAAAAGGTCTCCCCTCCCTAAAAAAGATTCTTTCCTTTGCCTTGCTTGCACCAATATTGCTCATTATCTTAAGAGTTTGTACAATAGAAAACAATGAAAAAACTCGCTTTAATGTCACATTATCACAATTAATATTGTTTTATATAATCCCTTATTTTTATATATTTAACTCTCCAATAAAACATCTAATAGAGCATATACTATTTCATACATATATTATAATAGAGCTTTCTCAAAATTTACATAAATATTATTTTATTTAATCCATATTTTATGTATTTAAAACAAAAGATTTGAATTGTAATTTTTTTTTAAAAAAACATCAACTATTGGATTTTAAATCCAACAGCATTGCAAGTAAGACAATTTTTTTTTTTTTTCCAAATCTCCTATTTACACCCTGGATATTATTGTTTCTACAATTAACAGCCTCCAAAATTTTTACTTTTAATCAAATATTGTCTAGAATTTAAAACCTATGAAAACCCTAAAAGTTAACGACCAAATTGCCTATTTCCACCTTGACTTGAACATGACCTAGTCTTTAATTTTGGGTTTTTCTACAAGTTTCAAATTATGAAAGGTGTTGAGTAGAAGTGAAAATTCTAAAAGGTGCTAATCGCAAAAAAAATAAAGTTGAGGGTGTAAATTGAGAGTTTGGCCAATTTTTATCCCAAGGGTAAAAAATAAGAACAAGTATAATGAAAAACAATACAAAAGTTCACTTTGGTGCCACATTATCACAATTAATATCATTTTACATAAATTCACATTTCAAATATTTAACCCTCAAATAGAACACTTAATAGAAATTTCTTTTACAATACATTTATCTAATCAGAGCTTCTTCAAAAGTCGTATCAATATTATTCTATTCAATTCACTTAAGAAAAATTTAAATTGCAAAAAAAAAAAAAAAGGATAAAAACAAAAGCTGTTAGATCAAAATGATTTAATAAAAAATTAAAAATTTGCACTATCATGTGGTGTAAATTCCTATAACTTTAAAATAGATTTTAAAAAG